GACTTCCACAGCTAATCGCTCTGCCCTTGCTACGAGTCGAGTCTTTCAGCAGTTGGTCTGCTTGATCACCTGGCTTGATCACCTGGCTCCCATTGCTGCGCTCATGCTGAGTCGAACTCGCTCGGAATAGTAAATAGAACTGTAGCCTGAATGTCGTCCCTTTCATCCACTTCCTCGTTCTGACACTCCCCTGCTGCTCCTCAGAGGTCTAAGATAAGCTCCACAACACTGCCGAAAAAAAAAACATTTTTTTTTTTTTTTTTTTTTTTTTTTTTTTGCTGAGAGGACTGGAAATGACGGAAAGAGGATCCCCTAATGCAGGGGTTTTCAGTCCTGCTTCTGGAGGGCCAATATTCTGCAGAGTTTAGCTCTAACCTGCCCCAAACACACCTGCATGGGTGTCTAGTAATCCTGATTAACTGGTTCAGATGTGTTTATTTTGGATTTTACGGCTTTGGATTTTATCTGGATTTCTTGTATCTTGTTTTATCTATAAGGGCCAAAAACTAGACTTTTTATAAAAATAGCCAAGTCTTTGTCGGATACTTCTCTTCATTTTCTACACTTGGTACCCAGGATTTGATTAGCCAATGGCTGGGCTGTGCCTGTGTTTCTGTACAGCAGTAATTAGTATTTACAGTTTCATTGTATTCATGTGAAGTCTTGCATATTGTCCAACAGTTCAACTAATTCTTCTAAAATGCCTTTAATAACATCACATTCAATTACAGCTTTTAGCGGGAAACCTTCACACAGCACACTAAGCCAGTTATGTAATGACTTTCACCCTATCCAGTTAGTGAACTGAAAAAAATAACCTCCAGTCAGAACAAAGAGTGCATCTTTGAGGCCTGTGCAGTGTTGGATACACTTCTAATCCTGTTCTCTAGCTTTAAGCCCTCAATTCAAATTAACGAACATGGAATCTTGACCTTCTCACTCATAAATAATTTTTTTTTAAAGTTAAAAGTTAAGTTTTCACTTCAAAATAACATTTAAACAGAAATGGCATAATAAACAGAACTGGCATAACTGCCCATTGTACAACATTTGGGAGGGAAATTGAGAATAAACATGCATTTAGGCTAAATTGTTAGAAGTAATGTTGTACAAATGTATAGTTTTCTTTTGTTTTTTTGTGAAATGAGTACATATACATTGTAAATGTTTGTGAACTATTATTATTTTTCGCTTGGGTAACATTGTTTACATATAATGTGTCAGATCTAAAAATCTAAAATAATATAGTAATTATAGTTTGAAAAGCCATTTCACTCAGATATACATCACAATAGGGAAGAAAAAAAAAACAATTGCAACATCCATTTTATGCTGACTTTAAAGGAATAGTTCACCCAAAAATGAATATTTACTCACCCTCAGGGCATCCAAGATGTAGATGAGTTTGTTTCTTCATGGGAATAAATTTGGGGAAAATGTATTCTTGCTCACCATTGGATCCTCTGCAGTGAATGGGTGCCGTCAGAATGAGAGTCCAAACAGCTGATAAAAACATTACAATAATCCATGCGGCTGCGTGTTTGTAATGAACGAATCCATCATTAAGACGTTTATAACTTCAAGGTGTTGCTTCTGGCTAAAATACAAGTCCATAATCCATAATATTGGTTTGACCAGTGAAAAGTCATCTTGTCTGAATCAGCAGAGAAATATGCACAGACAAGTACCATTTACAACTGAAAACAAAATAGGATGAACTTTTTCACTGGAGGAAGAGTTATTATGTTAAACTGCGTTAAGGATGGATTTGTTTCTTACAAACACACAGCTTTTCACTTCATAAGATGTTAGTTGATGGAGTGGAGTTGTGTTGATTACTTGTGGATTATTGTGATGTTTTTATCAGCTGTTTGGACTCTCATTCTGACGGCACCCATTCACTGCAGAGGATCCATTGGTGAGCAAGTGATGTAATGCTAAATGTCTACAAATCTGTTCCCATGAAGAAACAAACACATCTAAATCTTGGATGGCCTGAGTTTTAGTACATTTTAGATGAACTATTGCTTTAAATTTGATCTGGCCCAATTTTAAAGGCGATTGATGGAGTGGCATCATTACTGTCATTTTGTTGATTGCATGAAAGCGATTTGGATAAACAAATGACTCTTATGAGTATGGCCTGAATATTATTTTACCCAATAAAAAAGAATCAAGAATAAAGGGGAAAATAATTATTAGAGTATATTATGAAAGTATTATGTTTCTTTTGAAGTATCATGTTTGCCATTCAGTTAAAAATCTATAAGCTAAAATATACTTGGAAATTTGAATGGTTGATGTTGAGATCCTCCCCAATTAGTATGCCAAACTAATTGGGTTTATTAATTGGACTGGTCAAACCAATTGGAATAATCAGGGGTACGTGTGCCCCTCATTGCCTGCAGTGGATGCGGACACTGTTTACAAGCACTGAATCTGGGCTCATAGCAACCATAAAGTGAAGAAAGAGCAAGAAGAAGAGATAGATAGATAGAGAGAGAAAGTAAGGACAGGTTATTAAAGTGTTATGGTGATAGAAACATAAGTGTTTTTCTTTTCTCTGTTCTGGCACATGGTCACATATCTTTAATGGCTTTAAAGGGGACTTGCCTCTTCTGAGAGCACTTCACGATCCATGTCTTTTCCACTGTCAGTGCAACATAATTTGTTTGTGCTTCTTACAATGGGACTATAGTTCTTTACTGGATTATAGAAGAATGTCGTATGCATTATGTTAAACTTTAGGTTTTATTTTACAAGGGAATATGATGATCGGTGCCTACAGTTCAGGCAGACATTACCGAAACTTGCATAAGTTGTTTTGCTATCTAAAACTGATGTTTGTTTAGCCATTTCTCAGACCGTTAAATATTGACTCATGTATCAATAAATCATACTGTATATTGACACTGCTTATATAATGATTAGGCTTTATCATAAAAGCAGTTATTCACATATATTTATAACAACGCACTACCATTCAAAAGTTTGGGGGCAGTAGGATTCTTTTTTAAAATGTTAAAATTAATACTTTTATTTAGCAAGGATGTATTAAATTTATCAAAAATTACAGTAAAGACATTTATAATGTTACAAAAGATTTCTGTTTTAAATAAATGTTTATTAAGCAGCATATCAGCATTTTTGAAGGATCATGTGAGACTGAAGACTTGAGTAATAGCTGCAGAAAAATTCAGCTTTGCCGTCACAGGAATAAATTACAAGATATATTGAGATAAAAATTTGTTATTTTAAATTGTAATAATATTTCATAATATTACTGTTTTTACTCTTTACTTATTTTTGCCAAATAAATGCAGCCTTGAGGAGCAGTAAAAGTTCACTGTTGAATGTCAGTTGACCCACAATGCATAAAAAATTATTATTTATTTATATTAATTATATATATATTAATTTTATATCTAATACTATTGACTCTATATAATAAAAAAAATACAAATTAATGCACCAAATTGCTTGCTTAGCAGTTGTAAACAATTAAATGATTTAACTTTTTATTAAATATTGGTGACTTAGCATTTGCCACAGTTTTTGACAGCAAAAATCCACAAGAGGCATCAAAATGGTAAAATTTACTATGGTAAAATTACTCTAATGCATGGCCTCTTATGTCATAGTGCGTTATTTGAACTTAATCTTCCATGATGTACTTGGCTAGCAATCAAGCGTATATTTAAACACTGATCCTTGAGTACATTTTCTGACGTATGATGTGCCCTTTTCTAAATGTAAATGTTTTATAATCTTTGTTTTGATTGTTCTTCAGTGCTGACATATAATTAATGACAGTATTGTGGTTAATGACTTAAGAAGAACGTTGCTAGTGTCTTGTTTTGCTCACAGTGAATTGTGTAATAGATCTGGATAGCAGGCGAACTGGCATGTGTGAGACGCTCCTAAGACAGCAGCTGGTTATCAGGAGCAAACATCCACACTTTCTCTGTGTTTTACCTCTCTGCAGGCCCACCGATATCAATGTGCTGGCACAGAGTGAATGGCACAAATGCTTTAGTGTCACAGGCTGCTATTGACTCTGAATAAGGGCTCCGTCTTGCAGTTTGTTTATGCAGTCAGTCTGATAGGCCATTATTCCTCATTTACACGGACTGTGAGGCCCTGCACACTGTCTGCTGACTTTACAACACACAGTTTTTTCAGTGCTGTGCATCCAAAATACACTTAGGTGGTCACAAGATCAACTTAAAACAATTCTGCGTTGTCTCAATGAGAACACCTGAAATCAGTCTTTCATTAAATGTGAAGTTTAGTTTCTGCGCCACTAGCTTTACAAACAAAATTGCAAAAAGTTTGATCTCTCTCTTGTGTCATTTGAGCTTAGTCAACAAATGCACATTTGAAAATTGTAATTTTACAATATATTCAAAAACAGTTATTGTATTCAAAAACATTTTAAATATATTTTTGAATATTTGAAAATTATTTAAAATAATCGTACTATTTTAAATAAATTATTAAATATAATAAAAAGCTTGAAAATATACTGTTCAAAAGGCTGGAGTCGGTAAGATTCTAAAATGTTTTTGAAAGAAGTCTCTTGCTCACCAAGGATACATTTATTTAAACAAAAATACAGCAAAAATATTACTACAATAACTGTTACAATACAATAACACAATAACAAAAATACAATACAATAGCACAATAACAAAATAACTGTTTGTAATATATTGTAAAATTTTAATTTTAAAATGTAATTTATTCCTTTAATAATATTAATAAAAGTATGCATTAATATTCATCAATAAAAATAACTAAATACAAATTGACATACAAATAGCAATCAATATAAATTAATAAAACAACAAAAAAATTATTTAACAGTACAAAAAATCTTAATGGTCAAAATAAAATCTTTCTTCACCCTATACATCTTGTTGTTTGCCATTAAACTGTTTGGTTTTTCAGCCACTGCCACACTAACTAGGTTATACTCCTTCCTATGCTCTGGTTGACAGGAAGAACATCCATTCTGACCCTGACCTCTGCTTTCCATCCAGTCCACATGACTGAGCCACGCAGCAACGCTGAACAGCAGACCAACACCTGTGTTCTCAGTTAAAACAAGGTAAACCCTAATTTTATTAGCAGATCCACACATTTTCTGCATTTACAAGCCACTCAATTACCCTGGCAGGAAACCCTGTGGTCTGTGTCGGGCTCCTTTGCAAATCGGATGGTTTACAGCTGGACAGGGCCTGAGGATGTTATTTACATATGCTTAGCTTATGGTTGTGAACTAGACTTGTCTAACTTTTAATTCTTTATTGCTTCATGCAGATGTCATCAGCCAATGAGAATGGAGTCAGCGGGTCTAGCAATAACAGTAGAGAGAAAACATACAAAAAGGTAAATAGTTTTTCATTCATATTTTCTCTATATCTACCATAGCATCATTATAAAATATTACCTTTTTGTTTTTTAAAACCGTTTTGGAGTCATCTACGACTGTTTCATGTGTTTCATGTGCATGTGTGTATGGGTCAAAGACGAAAAACGGTTTAAGCATAAAAACAATTAAGTGTAATACTGCTTTAAATTGTTTTTGTTGTTCCCCAAAAAAATGTAAAAAGTTTAATTTAATTGCAATTTTGTTTTTGTTTTTCCGACCAAAATTTAACATTTTATTCTCCAAAAACTTATTTGAAACCTTAAAAGTAGACACTTTACTTATATTTAATGTGCTCTCTATGGACATATAATCACTTTTGTAAATTTCTTTTGATGCAGACATCTTAATGTCTTTGACCCGTATACATTTTTAATGTTTGAATTATATATAAACATTAACCACAATTATTTTTTTTTGTTAGTATATCTTTATTGCCATTAAAATGAGCAAGAAATATATATATATATATATATATATATATATATATATATTTACTGTATATATATATATTATTTGTTTGCTCGATATAATACAGACCTAGAAGTCTAGACAGTAAATAAACTAAATATACAAAATTAAATAAAAAAATAATAGTACAACTATAAGCAAAGTATATACATGGACATACACAAATAACAAAACAAAAAATACCGTGCTCACTTGTCAGTGAACTTTCCAAGGCAGGACCTCTGATACCATGACTATGTACAGCAGTTATTACATCAGTGTGTTGCTGAATGTTGATAAAACACAAAAAACATCAGCAAATCATCCACCAACACTTCTGTTCAGTGAAGAATGAGCTACTTTTTTCCAGTCACCTTATTTTCAGTGTCTCCAATGACGAGTGCAGTATGTTGATAATGTCCACCATCCTAAATGTTGGTACCAACAGAGGCCTATCAATGAACTTTCCAAAATTCTTGGATTTTACTGTGTTGGTAGACATTATACACTTGTAACCTATTTTTCATGCTATGACTGATCTAGTATTTCCAGTGAACCTCGCTTAAGAGTTTTGACCCACAAATGTCATTTGTTTAACCAAAGGAGATTTAGGAGGCGGGTTTAGTCTTGTGCATCTAACATCTAATGACCTCAATAAACCCACATAAAAGCAAGTTTCAAAATTACTCAAGTATACTAAATTGTATTGCTTTTTATTACCGATATTGTTACAGACTACTTCATCTGCCCTAAAAGGAGCTATCCAGCTTGGCATTGGTTACACCGTGGGGAATCTGACCTCAAAACCTGACCGAGATGTTCTCATGCAGGACTTCTATGTGGTGGAGAGTGTGTTTTTACCCAGGTATGAACAGAGGACGATGCAAACATTAGCTGCCTACGCATGTTGTTGTCAAAGTGGTCTGGAATGAGGAAATTCTTTCACAAGTTATCATACATTGCATTTAGTTTGGGTCATCTGCTCTTCAATTCTTCTCAAACAAGGAAATCTTCTCAAATCAGGGCATCTTGCAGTGTTTGATCACACACAAAAGACAGTGTATCATAAGAGCTAGAAACTTGAGCTCATTCTATTTCCTGCACAGTTGATTCTCACACAAATGATTCCCAAAAGCTCTTTAGAGTGAGCAGAGAGTTGATACAAGATTCAAAGAGACGACACTGATCCACTAGCCTGACTTCCTTATTTATAGAGTCTGATTCTCTCATTAGGGATTGCACTCCGGTTGCATTTGTTCGTCCTCAGTTTGAACCAATTTGACAGTCTATGGTTGTGTTCGAGATGGAATACTAGTGTACTAGTTATTGTATTTTGTGTATACTTCGTGATGCTTGCTATTTTTAAAAAAACGAAGCACGCTAGGGATGTGCAGCAAAGCCATTATCTGTATTTACATTGGGAGTGATTATGGGAAATAATTTGTATTCGTATTTGCATTTGGCCAGAAGTGAAAGTGGGCATGACTTACTGTAAATTGGTTAAAACTAATCAAAGAAGTACATTAATTGTTTCCTTAAAGCGCATACTTCTTACCCAGTTCATACACTACCGTTCAAAAGTTTGGGGTTGGTAAGATTTTATGTTTTTGAAAATGCTCACCAGTGTTGCATTTATTTGATCACAATTACAGTAAAACAGTACAACTGTGAAATATTATTACAGTTGAAAATAACTGTTTCCTTTTTTGAAATGTAATTTATTCCTGCGATGCAAAGCTGAATACTCAGCATCATTACTCCAGTCTTCAGTGTCACATGATCCTTCAGAAATCATCCTGTTATGCTGATTTGATGCTCATGAAACATTTATTATTATTGTCAATGATGAAAACAGTTGTGCTGCATTATATTTTTGTGGAAAACATAATACACTTTTTTAGGATTCTTTTTATTAATAGAACGTTTTAATGCATCCTTGCTGAATAAAAGTATTAATTTCTTTTAAAAAATTGTACTGACCCCAGATTATTAAATGGTAGTGTAAATTTAGTATAGTATATAGTAGTAGTGATTATGCATAACAGATTCTTACATGCTTTATATGTACTTGGAATGACAATAGAATAAAATTAAATGACATATGCCAAAAAACATAACAATTGTTAGACTATTTGGCTTATATATATATATATATATATATATATACTGTATATATAACTAAATCCAGAGATAGGGCACCACAGACATTTTTCTTAGAGAGTAGATGATTATTAAACAGAGGACACTTAGACTTTGATATTATTGACTTTATAGGCATAGCACATGTGTACATGTGTTGATTAAATTATCGCTCTACACTTACTTTGAATATAAAATATCAGTCTAATTCATTTTTTTAAATATTACTCAGAAGCATTTGTTATTCGGTTTAAGGTCATATTATATTGCTTTTCTGAGCAAGATAATCAGGCACATCCTATACTACAGAAATATGCTATGCTAACATATTTACATTTGCATTTATGCATTTGGCAGAATGCTTTTATCCAAAGCCACGTACATTGCTTTCAAACTACACATTTGATCAGTTCTTGCTTTCCCCGGGAATCAAACCCATGACCTTGGAGTTGTTAGAATTGTGCTCTACTGTTTGAGCTACATAGACTGCATTACCAAATATAAGGCCAAGAAAAATTACGCATTCGTCTATGAGACAGATTTGCACATGCGGAAGCCCTATTTTTCAGAGTTAGGTCATTCGTCTGTCCCTCATCAGTCTGCTGTTGTTTTAGTTCATAGGAAAAACTCCAATTCAGAGGTAAATTTTGGATTGGGTTACACAATGGGCATGGATTGGGGTTTAATAGTGAGTCATAGTCTGAAACAGCTAATCCTCAGAACTCATTCAAGTGCCCTGAAAAACAGCAACCCTCTAACCCACTTGTGAGGGATCGCAGGCACTTCTTGTTTATCGTTATTTTGAGTGATTATGACATCATCTGGCCCTTTCAAATCATACTTTTAGGAATTATTCAAACGGGATTAATCCAAATACTAATGCCCTGCCTCATAATAGCAAAAGGCGAAATGTGGGTTACAAGATTTTTTTTTTCCAGGGCTTGCTTACATTTCATCATGTGTAACTGATGTGACTGACCCTGGTCTTTAGTTTGTGTAACCGTTAATAGAGAAAGCCTAGGACCTCCTTGTCCTCAGGCATTGGTTGCTGTTGTGTGTCTCTAGAAAAGATTACCTCTGGTGTTTACTGCTGGTGGGTTACATTGCAACAAGGACGCACTCAATGGGACTCAGAAAGATCAAATGTGTCTCTATTCTTTAGGCATGAAGGAGCATTTAGGTTAGGTAACAGTTTCTTCTCACAGGATTATGTTTACAGACAGAGCCCAGATTCTTCCCAGAAGCCTCTTGTGTTGGGGAATGTGAGGATCATTAATGCAACACACAGTTGATTCACTTATTTGCTTTGGTTTTTGTTTTTTTTGTGATACATTAAGCAAATACTTTCACTTTTGCAGTGAGGGGAGCAACCTGACTCCAGCGCACCATTATCCAGACTTCCGTTTCAAGACGTACGCACCACTGGCTTTTCGCTACTTCCGGGAGCTGTTCGGGATCAAGCCAGATGATTACTTGGTAAAACACACTTTTCGATTTCTATTGGTTTTGGCCACATTAGAGGGCACATTAAATTGACCAAATGTGACAATAAAGATATTTATAATGTTACAAAAGAACTCTGTTTCACATAAATGCTGTTCTTGAGTTTTATATTCATCAAAGAATCCTGAAAAAAAAAATGTATCAGTTTCCACAACTATATTAAGCAGCACAGCTGTGTTTAACTTCAGTAATAATAATAATAATAATAATTAATGTTTCTTGAGCACCAAACCAGCATATTAGAATGATTTATGATGGATCATGTGACACTGGAGTAATGCTGCTGAAAATTCAGCTTTGCATCACAGAAATAAATTACATTTTAAGATATAATAAACTAGAAAACAGTTATTTCAAATTGTAATAATATTTCACAATGACTATTTTGACTGTATTTTCGATCAAATAAATGTACCCTCGTTGAGCATAAGAGACTTCTTTCAAAACATGTAGGTCTACGTCTTATTTTGCATGATATTTCATCAAGATATAATAACTTGTTTCGCCCTCTACACAACTTTTATTTTAATGTGACATCACAAATCCTTTTTGCCTTTTTAACGCATCTCCTCCAACCGTCTGAATTCTTTTTAGTATGTAACGCCAGCTTTTTGCAATCTAACCAACTGTTAAGAGATAAAATAAAGCACTATCTTTCTTTTAAAAAAAATTGAAATAAGGTTTATCTCAGAAATACATCATATTACAAAAGTAAACTGGGTTGCGAACAATATTTCATGTTGACTTTAATAGAAGACAAGAGCTGACAGGAAATGATGTGGCGACTGCAGGGGAAATGCAAACCAGTTGCATTCATCACGAACTGCTATGGTTCTGATTAAACACAATTTTCACCTCCATATTAATGCCAAGACTATTATGTGTCCCGTTCCCTTAAATTTCCCTCTGTCTGAGCCATAACAAAGCATCTTTGTATAAATTAAAGTTCAGTGGCTGCTTACATCAGGTGCCAGTAAGACTGACCAACAGTGCTACTGACCCCTGACGAACTTCTTTGCTGCACCTTGCCAACTGTGACTGGCAGGAACTCCGAATCTACGTCCTCATTTGTAAATTCCCAGCAGGGTTTAGCGGTTTGGTTTGATGTGTTCTCGCTATGTAAGATGTGTCCTGGCACATTGAGGTGTTGGAGGTGTACGTTTCCCTGCACTGCAACACTGCCTCGCTCTGACTCGCAGCCACTGCAGTGCCTCTGCAGCATCTCTGCAGTTCTTGTACATTTTGATCTGCATGTTTGTGTGTGTGTGTGTGTGTGTGTGTGTGTGTGTGTCAAGGGTGGATGGTGCTGATTAGGTGTATGATCTCAGTTGAGCTGTTAATTGCCTCCTCTGCTCTTTGACATCTAATGGCCTTGTAATTAGCCCAGCAGAGCGGTATCACTCCCAGGTGCCTGATAGTCTGGTCTACCTGTGTTATTTGTGAACCTGCATTATATCATCCCCTGTTATGAATCTATTGTGCACCACCTTTAGCTTGCATTAGACAAAAATGTTAATTGTAGTATGTGCAAAGATGCTGGGTTTTGTGATTTCTCTAATGACAAGGGAATACCTGGTTACATAATACCATTCAGAAGCTAACTTTTTGCATTCTACATTTTGCATAGGTGAATGGGAGTTCCTTTTTATTTGCATTTACTATGGACTATATTCCAGAAAAATCAGCATGAAGTGACTCAAGTGCACAGTAGCAGTACATCTATTTAAGTTCAGAGTTCTTATATAGCTGAAGGGGTAAAGCACGGCAAATGCCAAAATTTGCAGTGCCAAAGTTGTGTTTTCTATTGTCAGGGAACATAAATACTACCATTCAAAAGATTGAGGCCGTTAAGATATTTAATTGCTTTGAAATAAGTCTCTTATGCTCACCAAGGCATCAAATAAATGCAGTAATTTTGTGAAACGTTGTCAGTATTCTTCACTACATTTAATGTTTATTCCAGTGGGTGGCTTTCCAGTTATTATTTCTCAAATACAGTTATTTATGCATTGTGTATAAAAAGTATCTTACATTTCGGCAAACTGGTAAAATGGTCAACATGATATTCCATCATCTGTTGCACTAGAAATGGAAGATCATTGCATTGTGTGGTACAGTATTCCATGCAAAAAATAGTATGAATAGTGTAATCTATTATACGCACATCTGAAACCTGTATTTTTAGGCAAGTATACCAGATATGGTTGTCATATCATTTTTAAGTGGACATAACACACACAGTTTCTGCCAATCTCATGTTAATCTTGAGTACCTATAGAGTAGTATTGCATCATTCATATCTCCGAAGAGTCTTTAGTTTTATCACATTTTTGCCCATACAAGGAATTCCGCCCTTCATGATGTCATACAGGGCCATACTCGAAAAAAAAAATTCTGAAACTTATACAAACTCTGAAGAAGTGTCTTTGGTACAGAAATACTCCGTCATACGTCCAACTCGTTTTTTGAGACTTTGGTCATGTTTGGCATGAGAATCCAACTCTTTAACAGTGTAAATAAGTCAGAATGCATGAAATAGCATTAGACATCCCCTTTAATGCGACTGAGTTTATATTTAAGATGATCACAATTTAATAAAAACTGAGCAAAACTCCGGCATTTCAGAGATGACTCATCTGAGTGCCTCTGATTGGCGATTGCATTCATAAGCTCAACAGAATTGTGTGTGATTGGTTATAATGTGCAACACTGTAAAACCACGTAAAAAGAAATGCAACATGAGCAGATCTAAATTTAATGCTGCAATCAACACTTTTCATTTCATTTTCACTTTATTTGCGACATCCGTAATAGATCATTTTGTTTTTTAAAGGAATAATTGTGTTTTTTAAAGGAATAGTTTACCCAGAAATTAATATTTTCTCACCCTCGGGCCATCCAAATTGGATTGAATTTGTTTCTTCATGGGAACAGATTTGGAGAGATTTAATATTACCCTCTGCAGTGAATGGGTGCTGTCAAAATGAGAGTCCAAACAGCTGATAAAATCATCACAATAATCCACACGACTCCAGTCTATCAATTTAAATCTTGTGAAGTGAAAAAAAGCTGTGTGTTTGTAATAAACAAATACATCAAAGCGTTTTAAACTTTTTCACATTTTTAAACCATCACTTTTGGCCAAAATATGTTGTCCTCGATCCATAATATTGCTTTCTCCAGTGATAAAGTCATCTAGTCTGAATCAGGGGAGAAATATGCGCAGATCCAACGAAAAAAATTCCTAAACATATGTTGTGGATTTTGATGTGAGAGGGCAACAGGGGATGGACTTTTTTTGGGGATGGCCTGAGGGTGAGTATATTTTCAGCATTTTTAATATTTTTTGGTGAAGTAATTTTTTAATTTAATTGTAATTTAATTTAATTTTCCTTCATGGCCAGTACTGTTCTGCTCTATTTAAACACTCATAATATTTCAGGTTTTAATGGATTGTTTTTGTTGTGATCCTGCAGTATTCCATTTGTAAAGAGCCCCTGATTGAGTTGTCTAATCCGGGCGCCAGCAGCTCCCTCTTCTACCTGACCAGCGATGATGAATTCATCATCAAAACCGTCCAGCACAAGGAGGCAGAGTTCCTGCAAAAACTGCTTCCAGGATACTACATGGTAGGTCTCAGTAGAGTAAAGACTCATTCATCTCCTCAGTGAAGAAAGCTGAGTAAAACACTGTGACTCAGTAGTATAGATTGTTCTGTTCTCACTCATCTGTCTATTTTAGAGGGTTATTACTGGTGCAGCTACAGCATCTAAAGCAGCATATACAGGTTTACTTTTTGTGGATGAAATGAGCCATGAATACTTCTAACCAGCCAAAAGTGTATTTTATATAATTTTTTTTTTTGAAAGATCAAAGACAATTTTTAATATAACTCCGACTGGATTCGTCTGAAAGAAGAAAGTCATATACACCTAGGATGCCTCGGGGGTGAGTAAAACGCAGCCTTATTTTCATTTTTGGGTGAACTAACCCTTTAAGTGTATCATATGGCTCATGTTTCACTAGAATAAATGAAGTTCAAAAAACAGGGCCATCAAAAATTATGCGTTATCGCACATTTCTATTTCATACTTTACATTGCTAAAAATGAGGTGTTTGCAGAACAAACAAGTTGCTATTACTTGCTCATTTTAACAATTCTCTAAAAAGATTTACATGCAATTTTCCTCTTGTTTCACAGTTATTTTAAATATTATGTACTCTATCTCATTAATATTTCAATAAGCATTGTACACTACTGTTCAAAAGTTTAATTTTATTTATTTAATTAACACTTCAGCAAGGGCACATTAAATTGATCAAAAGTGACAGTAAAGACATTTGTTATGTTATAAAAATGTATATTTCAAATAAATGTTCTTTTGAACTTTCTATTCATCAAAAAATTATGATGAATAGAAAATGTATCACAGTATATTAGAATGATTTCTGAATGATCATGTGACACTGAAGACTGGAGTAATGATGCTGGAAATTTTTTGGTGAACTATTCCTAACTATTATATACAGAAAATAAATTACATTTTAAATTTTATTAAAATAGAAAACAGTTCTTTTAAATTGTATTACTTTTTCCACAATATTACTATTTTTACTGTATTTTTTGATCAAATAAATGCAGCCTTGGTGCGCATAAGAGACTTCTTTCTAAAACATTAATAAATCTTACCAACCCTAAACTTTTGAACAGTGGTGTACATGGAGAGCTAATTGCCGTTGTCTTAAACTGTTGACAACATCACAAAAACACTCATTATATGAACTCATGAGATAAAAACATGCACCTTAAAATGCCACAGATAGACCTCAAGACTCAGTACCTGAAACACAACAAGGGTAACAATCAGCTAAATAATCTATTTGAGGATCATTCTTACATTACAAGACATTGCGTTACTAAACATGAGAAGAAAATCAACAGTATGAGTGTACTGTAAATGGAACTGGAGAAGGTCAAGTGATACAATTATATTAAGTATGAAAGAGAATTGAACAGAACCACAAAACCACCAGCTATGCTTGCTATTTTGAGTATAGCATAATAGAAAGGCTGCATTGAGATGTTTTTTTTTTTTTTGTATGCATCTGTTGTCATGTTTTGTGTTTTAAAACATAAAAGTGGCTTTCTAAAATGGCACTTAGATTTCCCAAGATTTAATATAAATCTCATGATAGAGTTCATGATAGTCTTCAGCGCCACAGTAGCTTATTAACAGATTCAAAATGTGCTGAGCGGCAAACCTCTCCGTTCAGCTGGGAAACAAACTGCATAAATCCAGTTTGGCATTCCTTTCTATTTCAGCAGATCAGGCTGTTGACATGGTCTGGTAAATATTGTTGTTTTTCACATGATTTTTTTTTTTTCTGACTAAATGATTTGTCAACAATTAGATGGTATTTTCCCTCCTAGACAATTTCCATAACTGCTTAAATATTAGGGCTTGGTTGGTAATGTTTGCCCTACATTGACAGTATTTGACTGTCATATATTTGTTCTCCAAGGAAACTAAAGGTGTTTTAGGTGGTTGTAATGGCAATGCTGTGTGGTTGTTAAGATGTTCTGAGTGGTTTTTAGGGCATTGCTAGGTAGTTGAAGAAACACCACTACTAAAATGAATGTACTGTAGATAGCATAGCTCAGATACAGTACCGTTCAAAATTTAGGGTCAGTAGAATTTTTTTGTTTTTATGAAATTGATACATTTATTCAGAAAAGGTCCATAAATTGATCAAAAGTGACAGTAAAGACATTTATGTTATGTAATGTTACAAAAGATTTCTATATCAAATAAATGCTGTTCTTTTAGAACTTTCTATTAATCAAAGAATCTTGAAAAAAAGCATCATGGTTTCCACAAAACTATTAAGCAGCACAACTGTTTTCAACATTGATGATAATAAGAAATGTTTCTTGAGCAGCAAATCAGCACATTAGAATGATTTCTGAAGGATCGTGTGACATTAAAGACAGGTGTAATGATGCTGATTCAGCTTTGCTATCACTTAAATAAATTACATTTTAAATTAAATTACAAGAATATTTACTGTAATATTTTAAATTGTAATAATGTTTCACAAACAATATTACTATTTTTACTGTATTTTTGATCAAATAAATGCAGCCTTGGTGTGCATGAGAGACTTATCTTACTGACCCCAAACTTTTGAACGGTAGCCTAATTTGGTCTTTTGTTTGAGTTCATACTGAAATCTTTGACATTTGATTGCCAAATCAAAGCACAATTTGGTACTTAAATGGACAGTTCATCCAAAAATGAAAGTTCTGTCTTCATTTTACTTTTTTCTCTGGAGCACATTAGAAATGATTTTGAAAAATGTGTTTTGTTTTGGACCCCGTTGACTTTCATTACATGGACACAAACAGTTGAAACATTTTTCAAAATATCTTTTTTTTCTTCCGTGTTCCACAGAACAGATAAAGAATGTAATACAGGTTAGAAAAAACACAAGGGTGAGTAAATTATGACAGAACTTAAATTTTTGGGTAAACCACCAAGTCTTCATTCACTTTTAATTTTTCTTATTCGCCCCTCACATTGCTGTCCAGGAAAAATTATTAATATTAAAATGATCACATTTTTCATTTTTGTTTCCTATTTGCGCACTGCAGTGCTTTTCAAGGACAAATGCCACTTTGTAAGTTCCTCCAAAATCAAGCTGCAAGTAAACAGCCCAGTAACTGAATTAATTACCCAAATGATTGTGGCATGACGTTGAAGTGTCCCAATGCTGCATTAGGTAACCGGCCTCAAAGTTACGCCTTCTTTCTTTGCGTGAACATTTGGGCGGCGTTATGCAAATCTTCCCACAGAGCGACGTAGGTATGTTGGGGCGTGTTAGAACAAGCCGTTTTAGGTAGGAGTGGTTGACTCTTAACTTTTATAAAGAATATCTCTTTGGATTTGAGACTTTAATCTTTGCAACTTTACAGATCTTCTTTATGCACCACGAGCTTGTAACACTCCAAAGAGAAAGGAAAAATTGAAATTGCATCATATGACCCCTTTAAAGGTATAATTCACCCAAAAATGTCAGTTGTCATCAATTGTTCACCCTCATGTTTTTCCAAACCCATAAGACTTAGGTTAATTTTTTAAATATTATATGATATTTTTAAACACACCAGAGGTTTCTGCCACTACATTAAAAATCCAGGTAACCATAACTTAAAAGATCCAAGAAGGTCATATTAATAGGCTCAAATCAAATTGATTCGTTTTTACAATGCCTTTATAACCTTTTTGGATCTTTTAAGTTTTGGTTACCTGGACTTTTAATGGAAGGACAGAAATCTCTCAGATTTCATTAAAAATATCTTCATTTGTGTTTCAAAGTCTAACCAAAGTCTTACAGGTTTGGAATGTCATGAACATCATTCATAAAGTTTTAGAACGCTGGTATACCTATTTTTGTTAAACATATTCTTAAATTGCTAAAATTAAGCTAACGTTACATTTTTTTTTACAAGGTCAGCTATTCAGTGTCTTGTCAAAAGATTGTCAGTTTTGGGTTACTAATCAGTCATGATTTGTTGTAATGCATATTGTTACATTCATGAAAAATGTTTAGAATTTATGGGTGCTATAGTGGCATTGTTTGGCACATTGTAGTGCCTGAAGAAAATGGATGAGTAATAAATAATGTTTTACCTAAGATTGTTGCTTTTTGTCTTAAGTTAGATTTTTTTAGTTCAGCGTACTTGAACATTTTAAGGCAATCTTTCCTAAGATTTTCCTAGTAATGTGAACACTAATAATAAGTTAACCCAACTAATGATTTTGAGTTAACAGCACTTGACCAACAAGTTTTCTTTACAAATTTAAATAAGCATTGCCAACTAATAATTAATACACTACTTGGAAATTTTAAAGCAATTGGTTTCCTCACTTATTGTAAGTAAAGGCAACTTATTATATTTAACAGTTAATCAAGAACAAGCCTTTAAATGGTTTCTATGCGACTCAGCTCCAAGCACTTATGGGATTTCGATTATACACAGAGCACGTCGCCGGCATTTATCTTCACTCTTGATGTTTTCTCAACGGAAATGAGTAAGCATTCATTTTAATGACCTGATTTTGACAATAAAGAACGCTTCCATTACACCATATCTGAAACATGAAAAATAATGACACAGGTCGTTTTGGAGAGATCATAAATGTTTTTCCAGCAACTTCTTTCTACTTACAAGAAGAAAAGCACGTACAGGCAAATTTAAGTTTACAATCTTTAGATATACATATTCAAACATAAAATGCTGTAAAAAAAAAGAAAATAAATAAATAAATACTGTCAGTTTATAGAAAGATTTCTGTGCCCAAGTCTCAAAAAAATGTTTAGATTAAACGCCTATTAAATAAAGGCACTGCTAATGTATTTTCTATGTGCATCATACAGTATCTTTTATAAAAATCAACATTTTATAATATCAACATTGCATAGGACATTTTATAGACAATGATTGGCACGAAAATATAACACACAATAAAATAAAAATACACTTTTATTTTTAGTATATTTCATTTAGTATATTATTTTTAGTTTCTAATGTGCAAACAGTATTTAAATAAAACGTAATAAGAAAAACTTTTTGGGTCATAGAAGGTCACATGCCTAATGTTTACATACAATATGAACACAAGTAATATGACAAGTGACACATTATTTTTTTCACTGAACTCTTCACCTGATGTTAATGAATGACCCGTGACTGTGAAGAGAACTGACATTCTCATTTCAGCTGACTCGACTGATGGCAGCACACCAAGCTGCAAAACAGGCGGTTTTAGTGGTGTAACAGCATGCCATTGTGGACTGCTGCCCTGAAGCCCAGGATGTTTTCAGTGGAAAATGGAAAATACTTTACATAAGTATCTCAAAACAGGTTTCATGTAACACCAACCATTCACATTTGTTTCATTTTGTATTAACGCATTGAACTACTTGTCATATTTAGCTCATATTTGTACTTGTTATATTTTGCTAAGGGGTCATGAGGAATCAAACAAGCTTGATGTAATATGAAAAAAAACTGTAACTTTCAGAGCTCAAAACTTCCTTTCGAGTTCAAAAAGGCTAATACAGCTTGTTTTGAATGTCTGCAACTTTCTGATTTCAGACAAATGAAAACACCTGAGTACATAATCATTCACAGTTATACACATCGACAATGTGTATTCAGTCTAAAACCTCATGTAAACTATTATGAATTTTTTGGTGTGTCTATACAATTTAAATTTCACAAAGAATTACAAAGAAAGGCAAGTAGCACATTGAATTAAGCGTGACATTTTTAAATGTAGAATAACTGAAATAATATTTTCTTGTAGAATGTGCTCCAAAAATCTTCAAAAAAACGACTTCATCTTAATAAGTGTCTTTCACAATGGAAATATCTAGTAAAACTAGTTTTTAAAAGTGATTCTGCCTTTTGCCACCCACATTTTTTTGTGCTCAATCCTGCTTAGGAGCTCATAAAATAGGGGTATTTAGTCAAAAACCACACCACACCCAAAACAAAGGTGTAAATTCCTTTTGTCACAAGTAAACCTTTGACCCAATGACTCCATGTGTCAAACTCCTCTGTCGCCTTTGTTGGGTGTTACTGTGACCTATAGTTGAGGGCCCACTTGGAGGTTTTTAGACATTCATGACGGGATGCAAAACAAGGATGCTGTGTGTCCCTATTCAAATATTATTCATTTGAATATGGAGGATACGAGGGGAACAAGAGCGTCATGCAAAAGTGAAATCACGTAAACCCTTTATTGGTTCACGGCTACAGCTTTTACCTGATGGTTTGAGTTGTTTCTTTTATAGCATAAGTAAATGATGTGTAGGCCTTCAAGTATTTCATGTAGACATATAGTATTCATATATATACACTAATAGCTTGTAGTGCACATTGTTCTCTATGGTTTGTTTCTTGGGTATTTTTAACATGTAATCATTGCTGAGATCTTTTGTCTGGAGACCTATTGATGACTAATGTCTGTTTAAAATGGTTTCTTACCACTGATAAACAAGACTAATTTCTGAAGATACTGTGCAGACTTTCCCCAGTCTTACTTTCACTTTATTTATATATATATATATTTCTTTTTACTTATTTTGTCATGTTTTGTAAAAAATCTTAAATTAAGATACATTTACTTGAGAAGCAAATCGACTCAAAATGTTAAGTCTTGTTTTCTTAAAAAGAAAAAATCCAAATTAAGTGAGTTTAAGCTTAAAACAAGACAAAATATTTCATTTAATTTTGATAAATTTTTCAGTAAACTTTTTGCTTCTCAACTAAATGTATCGCAGTGTTAGTTCATTCAGGATTTAATTTACTGTTAAGTCATGTTTTGTAAAAAATCTTAAATTAAGATACATTTACTTGAGAAGCAAATCGACTCAAAATGTTAAGTCTTGTTTTCTTAAAAATAAAAAATCCAAATTAAGTGAGTTTAAGCTTAAAACAAGACAAAATATTTCATTTAATTTTGATACATTTTTCAGTAAACATGACTTAATATTTTAAGTCTTTTTGCTTCTCAACTAAATGTATCGCAGTGTTAGTTCATTCAGGATTTAATTTACTGTTAGGTCATTCAGGATTTAATGTTGAAGTGACTCTCTGAGCTTTTTGATCTTTTTTTGTTTCTCATTTAATTGCACTTTAATGCTTGCCATCAGATTTGGTGCATGACTCCCTGGATAAAACCACAGATATCTGTGGAAACTGACAGGTGCTGGCATTTTCGCTCCATCATTGCTGTTTTTTCTGTTATGTTACTGAAATTGTGTATTACGGTAATGTGCAATGCCGCAAAATAGAGGAGCTTAGAGCTTTGTTAGTGGGTGTGAAATTTTTATTAAAGTTAACTAAAACCATAAAAAACATTCTTAATGTACTTAAACTTATTTTTGCCAAGGCAACATTTCTCATTTTCATTTAATTTAACTTAAAGGGGTCATATGATGCGATTTCAAGTTTCCCTTTCTCTTTGGAGTGTTACAAGCTGATTGTGCATAGATAAGATCCCTGAAGTTGCAAAGACTAAAGTCTCAAAACCAAAGAGATATTCTTTATCAAAGTTAAGACTCTGCCACGCCCCCCTAAAACGGCTCGTTCTAACATGCCCCCACATATCTACCTCACTATGTGGAAATATTAGCATAATGCCGCCCAAATGTGCACGCAAAGAAAGAAGGCGTGGTTTCAGTAACCGCAGTTAGTGTTGAAGCAGCCATGTCAGGGAGACGCTGTGTATTTCTAGGCGAAAGCAAAAGTAGATGCATTTAGAATCTTTAAGATTACTTACAACAGAACAGCAATGCATTTTATGGACGACCGTTTCGTGAAACTAGGAGAGGAGGTAATCCTGACTTTGCTATGACAATCTGGCGCTTCCAAATACACAAAATAATGATCTTTAAAAAAGCATCATATGACCCCTTTAATGTACTAAAATAATTCATACTAAAACTGAAATAAAATTTTACACAAAATAATGATCTTTAAAAAGGCATCATATGACCCCTTTAATGTACTAAAATAATTCATACTAAAACTGAAATAAAATTAATAAAAACTATATAGACATTTGTATTTGTACGCCCTTAAACATGAACTTAGCAAACAAGAGTTTCGCAGAATGAGGGTTATCATCTTGACAAAGAGAAAAAACAGCAACGGTACAGTGGCCAAAGACAAGGTATATTCATCAGGAGGATTTTGGCAGTGGTCCTTGTCAGATTGTGGTAAGTTAAATGTTGTGTTGTATATCATGCAGGTGCTGGAGAGTTTTAAGATCATGGACTACAGTCTGCTGTTGGGGGTGCACGTTCTGGACCAGAGTCACAGAGAAGGAGACGTCAACATTGTGGATGGGAAGAGGACCGTGGGACAGAAAGTTCTTTACTCCACTGCCATGGAGTCTATTCAGGGAGACGGAAAGGCAGCAGAGGCTTTGACCACAGACGACACGTGAGTCCCTGACATTAAAACCAGTGTTGTCCTGTTCATGAACATTCAAAATGGGTGTGTTGCAAATACATTTTTTTAGTGCGTGTTTTAGTAAAAAAATGTTTTGTGTTTAGCCAGTGAATGTCACAAAAGAGCTGTTGTATTTCACCCCAAAATCTAAAGAAAGAAATGTAAATGATATTTTACTGAAGAAAATGTTTATTTATATACATTATTATTTATAGATACTATTTATGTATTATGTGTATTATTCTATATGTATTATAAAATTATTTATTATTAACTTTAGTATTTGTTAAGCTGCATTTAATTTATGATTTCATTTGTAAACTGTCATATCCGAAATAAATTAAATATAAATTAAATTTAAAGAAAGTTTAATTTTATTAATATATTAATATTAATTTATTTATTAAATTTATTAATTATTAATTAATTTATAAATTATAGTTAATTTATATAATTTATATATCAAACTGTATATATGTGTATATATGTGTGTGTGTGTGTGTGTGTGTGTAGTCATGTCTTTAAAAAAATCTTTGTATTTTTTTAGAATAATAAGTAGTACAAATAAAAACATGAATATAAAATTGTTGCATTATAGCAATTAGAATTTGTCACAGTGCAAAAAATCTTATTGCCACTAAAAATAAGATTTATGTTTTTTATGGATTATTTATTTATTTAGTGGTGAATTGGCTTGTCTTGAACTTAATATGTTTTTGTGAGATTTCCCAGCCACTAATAACCTAATATAATGTAAACACAATGTTTCTTTTTACACAGAATGGGAGGCATTCCTGCAAAAACACACAGGGATGAGAAACTACTCATTTTTCTAGGCATTATTGACATCTTGCAGTCTTACAGGTAAGCCTGGTGTCAGTTTACAACAAACCCAAGAGCCCAAATGCCATGTTACACACCAGCTTACAGCATATTTGCTCAATGCACCGTCTTTAAATGAACTCCCTCATCCCTGACGAGATCTCTCACTCTCATTTCCCACCAAGATTTATTAAGAAGCTGGAGCACTCCTGGAAGGCACTCGTCTATGATGGTGTAAGTCTATATATCTCTCTGCTCTCTTCGTTTATGAATAGACTATTCATATCACTGGGGGAATTAAAGACGCTTCCTGGTTTAATTGTCTTGTATTCTCTTTCTCCTAGGATACGGTGTCTGTGCACAGACCGAGTTTCTATGCAAACAGATTTCTCAAGTTCATGAGCTCCAGAGTATTCAGAAAGATTCAGCGTAAGTCAACAACACAAGCAAACTGATTCAGTATTACATAATCACAATGGGTTACATTTTGAATATTAAAGGTTATAGGTGCAACTTGCATCGTCACAATTCATTTTTAAGAAAATGTGATAACACTGCACAAAAATGTGTTATTTGTTAACATTAATTAATGCATTAGTTAACATAAACTATGAACAATATATTTTTACAGCACTTTGTTGATGTGAAATACAGTTGTAAAAGTCTTGAAAACAATAATACAAATACAAATGTTCATTTCTTTGTTCATGTTCATAGTGCATTAATTAATTTTAACAGATACAACTTAAAAATGCATTAGTAAATATAGAAATTAAGACTAATAAATATTGTTGATTGTTGTCATTGTTAGTTAAGGTTAAATAATATAGTTAACTAATGTTAACAAATTAAACATTATTGTTAATTGTTACTGATTATATAATAATTAAGAAATAGTTTAAGCCTGTAAATCTAATTGCATATATCTGTGGATATGAAAAAGAAGAATTATATCAAACTAAAAGAAAATATGCAAAGTCACTGCCACAGTACCACAAAAGAAGATATTTTGAAGAAGTTGACGGTAGCCATTGACTTCCATAGTATGGAAAAAAAAAATACTATGGAAGTCAATGGCTACCGTCAGCTGTTTGGTTACCAATATTCTTTAGAAATATCTTCTTTTGTGTTTTGGAACAAGTGGAGGGTGAGTAAATGATGACAGATTTTTCATTTTGGGGTCAACAACATTAGCCAGGGTTAAAAATGGCATTAGTCTGGGGTTAAAAAGATACCCTGGGTTAAATGCGGTGTAAAAAGCCCTTGATTTGCATCCTATGCCATCACCAAAGACAAATGGTGACATTTACTTGCAAACATCAGTTCTATCACTGTTGACATACCATACAGGAAGTGTCTGCTTTTCTATCTCATGCAATATCTTTTGGAAAAACCCTGAAAACTGAGCTGCCATCTGAGACATTTTTTTCCAGACAGTCATGTCTTCCTCATTCAATTCACATTTACTACCTGAACACAAACCTTAGTGCTCAGCCTCAGAAGTTACTCAATGTCTTTGCATTGACTTTTTGCGCTGCTATATTAGTCATCAGCTCAGAGCTGCTGCTGGATATGAATTATAATAAAAAATGTGCTATCTTACCCTTCAAAAGTTTGGGGTCAGTATGTTTTTAAAAAGAAATTCATACTTTTATTCAGCAAGGATACATTAAATTGATCAAAAGTTACAGTAAAGACATTTACAATGTTACAAATGATTTCTGTTTAAAATAAATTCTTTTGAACGTTACTCATCAAAGAATCCTTAAAAAATGCATCGCAGTTTTCACAAAAATATTAAGCACTGTTTTCACCATTTGATAATAATAATAAATGTTCTTCAGCACCAAATCAACATATTGGAATGATTTCTGAAGAATCATGTGACACTGAAGACTGGAGTAATGATGCTGAATATTCAGCTTTGATCACAGGAATAAATTACATGTTAATATATATTAGAAAATGGTTATTTTAAATTGTAATAATATTTCACAATGTTTCACATAAGAGACTTCTTACTAACACATTAATATCTTGCCGACTCCAAACTTTTGAACAGTAGTTTAGTATCTTTGTCATGCACTGTACATTTATTCCTCCCAGTCACCTCATGTGGTTGTTATTGTCATCTCATACTACAGTGTTCTGGTCCTATAACCGTCCTGACCTGGTCCCTCAGACTCCTTACCCGTATGAAGTCTCTTCCTTGAGCCACACCCTCTCCCCGCCCTCTATTTACGTCACAGATCGGTACCGGGAGGCCAAATCAAATGAAAGGTGATACCTTTCACACACATCTCACAAACCTTCAGACCCATAAACCTGACACATAACACACCTGTTACCTTCTCACATCTCCACTTCTGTTCCCTCCACAGAGATACTGAAAGGAGTAGTTCAACTAAAATATGAAAATTCAATCATCAGTTACCAAACACATTTGACTTTTTTTCCCCATGGAACACAAATGGAGAATTTTTTTAGCCATATAGTCATGATGAATGGGGACTAAACACTAAATTCAGATTCATCAATCGGAACGAATTCAATCCAAGTGAAACACAAGATGTGCATGTAAACACAGAGTTAAACTCAAGAACCAGATTAGTTCAATTCATCAACAAATCATTCTGAGCAGTTCTGTGAACTGAATCAATTGCTTCATTGACAAGATCTGACTCAAAAGATTCCTACACAAATCTAGTTTTGCTACTTCTCTCAGTTACACAAAAAGGAAAGCTAGATGTCATGATTTTTGTCATTTGATTTCAGTTTAAAGTTGTATAGACTACTTTTATGGTGCATTTGAATAATTTTTGGGCCTAAAAACCTTCATTTATTGTAACTGCATAGAAAAGAGCAACACATACTTAAAATTCCTTTTGTGTTCCACTGAAGAAAGAATGTGATGTGAGTTAGGAATGACATGAGGGTTGAGTAAATAATGACAAACCAGATCAGTTCAGTTCATTAATGAATCTTTCAGAGCAATTTTGTTAACTGAATCAATTGATACATTGAAAAGATTCAGTTCAAAAGAATCATTCCTTCACAAATCAAACTTATCTCATGGAGATACACACCAAGGAAAGCTAGATATCATATTTTTTTGTCATTTGATTTCATTTTCAAGTTTTATAGACTACTTTTATGGTGCGTTTGAGTCCTATTTTAAGCCTTAAAAAACTTCATTTATTGTAATTGCATGGGAAAGAGCAACAAATACTTCAAAATCCTTTTGTGTTCCACTGAAGAAAGAGTTAGGAACGACAGGAGGGTTGAGTAAATAATGACAAATATTTCATTTTTGTGTGAACTATTCCTCTAACTCACCAAGTCACCTTGAATATAGTCCAACAAAGTCACAATGTAACACTTCGAGATCAGTGTCTTATATCCTGCTACAGCGTGAGCAGTTGACCAGGTGCTGTCATGCTACACTTGTTCTGTTGCTGGATTCTTTGTGTTTGGTTTTCACTGATCTCCTCACCTTTGACACACACCCGTTTTAAGAGGAATTCCTGTGAAAAGACCTCATGAATATTTTACCTGCTTGCTAAGGACAAATATAATAGAGGTATTGTTTTATGATACACAATACCACAAAAGGGGGCATTCGGTGTTCTTCAGTTTGAACAATGATTATTGAGTTAAAAGAGCTTTGTCAGATGCCATCCTGTTGAGTTCAAGGGTTAGTTCACCCAAAAATGAAAATTAAAGTGTTTATTACCTTTGAAATATGGATATTTTTCTTACAAAAACTCATGGATTCGCTACAGGGGGACTTTATTCATTCCCCGGAGCCGTCTGCGGCACGTTTTATTATGAATGCGTGAGCTTTATTTGACGACTTGTGGACTGTTCCAACTGCAACACCCGCTGAGTGCCATTAAACAGCTTGAAAGATCAAAGACAATTTTTAATATAACTCCGACTGGATTCGTCTGAAAGAAGAAAGTCATATACACCTAGGATGCTTCGAGGGTAAGTAAAACACAAGCAAATTTTCATTTTTGGGTGAACTAACCCTTTAAGGGAAACATGACTATTGTTATTGCTTACACTTAATGTTAGGGATTTACAATGTTTCAGATGGTACGTTGGGGCTCGCTAAGATTTTATTTTATACGTTTTTATGCTCACCAAGGCTGCATTTATTTGGATAAAAATACAGACAACTGTGGAAAAAATTTGAAATATTATTACAATTTAAAATAGCTGTTTTCTGTTTATATATATTTTAAAATGTAATTTATTCCTGTGATGCAAAGCTGAATTTTCAGCATCATTACACCTGTCTTTAATGTCACACGATCCTTCAGAAATCATTCTAATGTGCTGATTTGCTGCTCAAGAAACATTTCTTATTATCAATGTTGAAAACAGTTGTGATGCTTAATAGTTTTGTGGAAAATGTGATGCTTTTTTCAGGATTCTTTAATGAATAGAATGTTCAAAAGGATAGCATTTATTTGAAATAGAAATCTCAGTAAGATTATAAATGCCTTTTAATGTAACTTTTGATCAATTGAATGCGTTCTTGTTGAATTAAAGTATTTTATCTATCTTACTGACCTCAGGCAGTGAAAGTGTTTGATGAAGTCCAGGGTGAGCCTGTGTTAATGAACACCCTCAGGGTCTGAAATGTGTCACATGCACAAAGTGCTTTATGTTCATGAGGTGAGCAAGGGTCTGGTTGCCATGGCAGCAATAACTCAAGAGATTATTGCAGGCAATAAATACATAAGAACATTCCAAAGTGGATATAGATGGCCAGCACTCATCTGAAGTGTGTCACGGTAATGATAAGAAATATTACCACTGAAGTGCTTTCTGTTTTGGTCTCCCTCACATGGCCACCCGTATTCCCGTAGATCAGTTGTGGCATTTATGAGACCACCAGCTTTGCTCAATATTCATCATTGAGTCATGTTCAGTCATGTTTTGAGAGGACTCTTAGTTTGTAGCTTGAGCTTCTTTGTGCTGTTCTTCTGATTCACTGCTGTTGTTTGCATTCAGATGTGCCTGCTCAACTTTTACATTGGAGGACAGCGCCATCTGTCTGACATCGGAGCAAAGCACCATGGACATAGACAGAGATGAGGACTCAGTGCTGGATGTCTACTTTGTGAGTTTGTGCAGGACAGTTAGTCAATTGCATTTCAAGGGATCTATGAATCTTAGCCAGGGTCATATCGAAAATGAAGTTGTGACGAACAGAAGTACAATACGTTCAATAGGTTGTACTATCCTATGTTTTTTGCAAAGACATTTTTAGTGTTTTATTGACTTAATTATCAATACCAAGGTACACAATATAATCCACTACATTTTTATCCCTCACATTAAATTAAATATGATGTCTACCCCGGATAAGGTCTTTCGGATCTGCAATGATATTGTCAAAAAAATGTAAAATATCTGTTATTACATGGCTTTCTGATTGGTCAATTGCAGCATAACTATTATCAGAGCAGTTAAAATTGTGTATTGATCAATAAGCATTCAGGACTAATTATAAAACTATCTATTTTGTAATTTGTAATACTGACCAATCAACCTTGCACTTTCCCTTACTTCTTTTATGTATAAATATATTAACTTTCAGAATTTAATCTGATATTTATAAACATTTATAAATTATAATTATATAATATAATAATGAACATATATTATGAATGTATGCATATGTGTATATATATATATACATATATGAATATTAGATTTTATTTTATTATTTATTATGTTATTATATTTCACTTTTTATATCTTTATAATGTATAAATATCAGATTAAATTCCAAGTTAGTATTGATATTATATTCAAAATTGTATTATTATTATTATTATTATTAAAAATAATAATAATAATAATACATCTTTTTTCATTATAATTTGTAA